AGGAGAACTACAAACCACTGCTCAGTGAAATAAAAGAGGACACAAACAAATGGAAGAACATACCATGCTCATGGATAGGAAGAATCAATATCGTGAAAATGGCCATACTGCCCAAGGTAATTTATAGATTCAATGCCATCCCCATCAAGCTACCAATGAGTTTCTTCACAGAATTGGAAAAAACTGCTTTAAAGTTCATATGGAACCAAAAAAGAGCCCGCATCTCCAAGACAATCCTAAGTCAAAAGAACAAAGCTGGAGGCATCACGCTACCTGACTTCAAACTATACTACAAGGCTACAGTAACCAAAACAGCATGGTACTGGTACCAAAACAGAGATATAGACCAATGGAACAGAACAGAGTCCTCAGAAATAATACCACACATCTACAGCCATCTGATCTTTGACAAACCTGAGAGAAACAAGAAATGGGGAAAGGATTCCCTATTTAATAAATGGTGCTGGGAAAATTGGCTAGCCATAAGTAGAAAGCTGAAACTGGATCCTTTCCTTACTCCTTATACGAAAAATTAATTCAAGATGGATTAGAGACTTAATGTTAGACCTAATACCATAAAAATCCTAGAGGAAAACCTAGGTAGTACCATTCAGGACATAGGGCAATGGGCAAAGACTTCATGTCTAAAACACCAAAAGCAACAGCAGCAAAAGCCAAAATTGACAAATGGATCTAATTGAACTAAAGAGCTTCTGCACAGCAAAAGGAAACTACATCAGAGTGAACAGGCAACCTACAGAATGGGAGAAAATTTTTGCAATCTACACATCTGACAAAGGGCTAAATCCAGAACCTACAAAGAACTCAAACCAAATTTACAAGAAAAAAAACAAACAAACCCCATCAAAAAGTGGGCAAAGGATATGAACAGACATTTCCCAAAAAGAAGACATTCATACAGCCAACAGACACATGAAAAAATGCTCATCATCACTGGCCATCAGAGAAATGCAAATCAAAACCACAATGAGATACCATCTCACACCAGTTTAGAATGGTGATCATTCAAAAGTCAGGAAACAACAGGTGCTGGAGAGGATGTGGAGAAATAGGAACACTTTTACACTGTTGGTGGGATTGTAAACTAGTTCAACATTATGGAAAACAGTATGGCGATTCCTCAAGGATCTAGAACTAGATGTACCATATGACCCAGCCATCGCATTACTGGGTATATACCCAAAGGATTATAAATTATGCTGCTATAAGACACATGCACACGTATGTTTATTGCAGCACTATTCACAATAGCAAAGACTTGGAATCAACCCAAATGTCCATCAGTGACAGATTGGATTAAGAAAATGTGGCACATATACACCATGGAATACTATGCAGCCATAAAAAAGGATGAGTTTGTGTCCTTTGTAGGGACATGGATGCAGCTGGAAACCATCATTCTTAGCAAACTATCACAAGAACAGAAAACCAAACACCACATGTTCTCACTCATAGGTGGGAACTGAACAATGAGATCACTTGGACTCGGGAAGGGGAACATCACACACCGGGGCCTATCATGGGGAGGGGGGAGGGGGGAGGGATTGCATTGGGAGTTATACCTGATGTAAATGACGAGTTGATGGGTACAGCACACCAACATGGCACAAGTATACATATGTAACAAACCTGCACGTTATGCACATGTACCCTACAACTTAAAGTATAATAATAATAAATAAATTTAAAAAAAAATCACTATGCATGGTAAGGTAGAGAAAAATGTGACACATGAGTAGAAGCTGATAGAAGCCATCCTGGAAATGACAGATATAAAGAAACTTGTGGACAAAGATGCTAAAACAGATATTATATTTGAGTAAAGAAAAAATATAGTAAGGAGAGCAAAAGATGTAAATAAGAACTCAAACAGGAATTTAAAAATGCAAAAAACAATATCTGATATTAAAAATTAACTGGAAGTATTAATAGGCAATTAGCCACCACAGAAGATTAATGAACTTGAAGACAGTGATAGAATATATCTAAACTGAAGCACAGAGAAAAAATAATTTTAAAATTAAACAGTTCAAGTGAATGAGATGACAAGCCACAGTCTGGGGGAAAATATTTGCAAAAGACAGTTCTGACAAAGCACTGTAATCCAAAATATATGCAGAACTGTTAAGAAAGCAAGTTGACTTTAAAAATGGACAAAAGACCTGAACAGATACCTTACCAAAGAAGATGGCAAATACATAATGAAAAGATGCTCAACGTGGTATGCCATTAGGTTATTACAAATTAAAATGAGATATCACTACACACACACCTATCAGAATGGCCAAAATCCAACCACTGACAACACCAAATGCTGGTGAGGATGTGGAGCAACAGGAACTCTCATTCATTGCTGGTGGGAATGAAAACTGGTACAGCCATTTTGGAAGATGATTTGGCAATTTCTTATAGAACTAAACATGCTTGTACCATACAGTTGAGCAATAACACTCTTTGGTATTTACACAAATGAGTTGAAAACTTATGTCCACACAAAACCCTGCAAATGGGTGTTTATAACATCTTTATTCATAATTGCCGAAACTTCGAAGCAACCAAGATGTCCCTCAATAGGTGAATGAATAAACAAACTGTGGTACATTGAGAGGGTGAAATAGTGTTCGGTGCTGAAAAGAAATGAGCTCTAAAGCCATGAGAAGACATGGAGGAATCTAAATGCATATTAATAAGTGAAAGATGCCAATCTGAAAAGGTTACATACTGTGTGATTCCAACTATGTGACATCTTAGAAAAGGCAAAACTGTGGAGATAGTAAAAACATCAGTGATTGCCAGGGGTTGAGGGGAAGGGAGGGATGATTAGGCAGAACACCAAGGATTTTTAAGGCAGTGAAACTATTCTGGATGATACTATAATGGTAGATACATGTCATTATACATTTGTCAAAATTCTTAGAATGTACAATACCCAGAGTGAACTCTAACGTAAACTATGGATGTGGCAGTGGGGGAAGGGAGATGACTCAAAGTAGGTTCACCGGTTGTAATGATTGTATCATTATGGAGCATTATGTTGATAGCTGGGGAGGCTACGCATGTGTCAGGCAGGAGGCACATGGTAACTGTACTTTTCTGCTCAGTTTTGCTGTGAACTTAAAACTTGTCTGAAAAGTCCTTTTTAAAAATAACAGAGCCTCAATGACCCATAGTATAATACCAAGCACTCTAATATTTTCATAATTGGAGTCCTAGAAAAGGGGGTGAGAGAAAAAATATTTGAATAATGGCTGTGAATTTTCTGAAATTGATGAATACTATAAACTCCCCCAACCCTTCCCTCTGCCCAAAATACACCAAGGTACATTATAATCAGATTCCTGAAAAACAGTAATGAACCTAAATCTTATGAGGAGCTAGAGAAAAAAGACACACCAAGTACAGAGGAACAAAGATAAGAACCAATGCAGACTTGACAGTAGAAAGCATACTGGCTAGAAAACAATGACATGACTTTTTAAAAATGCTGAAATAAAACCTATGAATCTAGAATTCTATATCCTGCAAAAATATAGAAAAAACACAGATAAAATACGGAAAGTATTTTCAAAAATACAGATGAAATGTGCAAAAAAAACTTTTGCACACAAACAAAAGCCAAGGAAATTTGTCATCAGCAACTATGATCTATAAGAAATGTTAAAAGAAAATTCTTTGGGCAAGAAAAAAGTGATACAAGATGGAAATTTGAATGTATGTAAATGAATGGTTAATTTTATGTGTTAAGTTGACTGGGCTAAGGGATGTTCAGAAATTCAGTAAAACATTGTTTCTGGGTATGTCTCTGACAGTATTCTGGAAGAAATTAGCATTTCAATCAGACTGAGTAAATTGCCCTCACCAATGTGTGGGGACATCATCCAACCCACTGAGGGCCTGAATAAAACAGGCAGAAAAAAGGCAAATTTGCTCACTCTGCCTGAGTTGAAACAATCCATCTTCTCTTGCCCCCAGATATCAGTGTTCCTGGTTCCTGGGCCTTTGGACTCAGACTGGGACTAACACCATTGGCTCCCTTGGTTCCCCGGACTTTGAGTTTGAACTAGAACTACACCACCAACTTACCTGGGCCTCCAGCTTGCAGATGGCAGATCACAGGACTTCTCAGCCTCCATAATTGTGTAAGCCAAAGTCTTACAGTAAATCTCTTTCTACAAATCTACATATATGTAAATAGATGTGTGTGTGTGTGTCGGTGTATATCTTATTGGTTCTGACTCTCTGGAGAACCCTAACATAACAAAAGAATAAAGAATACTGGAAATGGTAAATATATGAGTAAATATTAGAGACTTTTACATTTTTATTTGAAACATACTTGACTGTTTAAAGTGAAAATAATGAATTTTGAAGTTTATAACATGTAGCAATAAAATGTGTGACAAAATACAAAGGGAGATATACAGGAAATGGAAATATACTGTTAAGAGGATCTTATATTCTGCACAAAGTGGTATTTTATTTGAAGACAGGCTATAAGTTGAAAATACATAGTATAAACCTTAAACTTTTAAATGCGACAAAGAGATATATAGAATATATAGTGGATAGAATAGAATGCAAAAAATAATCCCAAAAAGCCAAGAAAAGAGGAAAATGGTAATAAAGTATAGATGAAACAAATAGAAAACATTTAGTAAAATAGTATATTTAAATTCAACTACATTGATAAAATAAGTTATCTAAACAGTACAATTAAAAATATCAGGCTGGATTAAAATGTAAGACCCAAATATACACTGTCTTCAAAAAAAAAATTTAATGGTAAAATGTAAAAGAATTAAAAACCATATATCATGCAAACACTAAATGTAAGAAACTTCAAGTCGATAGATTAATATCAAACAAAGTAGAATTCAGAACAAGAAACATTACCAGAGACAAAGAGGGACATTTAATTATAATAACCGTCATTTTATAGAAATAACGATCTTAAGTGTGTATACACGTAAAAGCTTCAAAATATGTAAAATAAGAACAGAAAAATAGGAAAAAAAGTTAATTATGTTCAGAGATAAACATTCTTCTCTCAGTAATTTATCAAAGTAGACCAAAAACCAGTAAAGAAATAAAAGATTTCATCATCTCTAGCAACCAACTTGACCGAGTTGACACTGATAGAATGCTGTACTCAACAGTAGAATACACATTCTTTTCAAGGGTGCAGGAAGCATTCACCAAGCTAGAACGCATGCTGAGCTGTAAAACAAAACTCAACATTTTTAAAAGAATCAAAACAATGCAGAGTATGTTCTTTGACTGCAGTGAAATTAAACTAGAAATCAGTAACAGAAGGATATATGGGAAATTGCTAAGTCAAACCACATATGTAACTATACAATGTTTCAAAAAAAAGGAAATGAGAAAGTTAGAAAGTGTTTTGAACTAAATGAAAATAACACAACATTAAAATGTGTGTGATGCAGCTAAAGAAGTTGTTAAAGGGAATTTTATAACTCTACGTGCTTATATTTTAAAAAGAGGAGGGCCTAAAATCAATGATCTAAGCTTTCATCTTAAGAAACCAGAAAAAGGAGCAAATTAAACCTAAAGTAAGTTGGAGAAAGGAAATAAGAGCAGAAAGTAATAAATTAGAAAATGAAAAAACAATTCCAAAAAATTATGGAAAATCTGGCTCTTTGAAGGGTTCAGTAAACCTTAAGTGACACTAACTGAGGTGGGAGAGGAGAGAGAGAACACAATTTACCAATATCAGAAACAAAAGAAGAGCTATCACTAGATCCTACAAACATTAAATAAGAGAATATTACGGACAAATTTATGCCAACAAATTTAAAACTTAGACAAAATGGATGAATTCTTTGAAAGACTCAAGTTACCAAAACTGACTCAAGAATAGAAAGGTGACTCTTATGAAGCTAATCTAGCACTGATTCACGGAATGCCACTGAAAACCATTGGTTTGGTTCAGATTTTATCTAAGCATATCAGTGAACCAAAGGCATAGAAGATTTGAGCAGGATTAGATTGTCCAAATAGAGCCTAACAACCTACTGAACAATGAAATATACAGTTACAGTTGATGGCTACATCACCAAATAAATCTCTGAATATTTGTTCACTGACTTGACTGAAAATTTTGAGTCAGTTATTTAGGAGTTGTATAAACATAACCTTCAAGATTCAGATGTGAAGGCACTGTGGGTGGGCTTTCCCAACACCCATTCCCAGTTCCCTTCTCTGCTCTCTCTGAGCCTCCTTTGCAGCTAGATAAAAGTGGCCATATGCCACCATTCTGGCAAATGAATGTAAGCAGATGTTTGCTAAGGGTGGGGGAACATATCTTGATCAAAGGGGACGAATGTTCAGCAACCATCTGCAAGTGAGAAACTGAGACAATCCTACCATCACTCAGCAGCTGAATCAGTAGTGACAATAATGGCCTCCCTCTTGATTTTTTTTATTGTTATATGAGAAAAATTCCCACTTCTTTAAAAGCTTTTAAGTTGGGTTTTTATTAACTTGCAATCATACACAGTCTTAATAGAAGACTATGACATATTCATATTCCCACAGCTAAGGCAAAAAGGGAGCCATCAGTTTAGTTCTTGCCTTGACTAGCTACACAAATCTTAGAACCATCTCTTAGCATCAGCGCACCTGCGTTTTATCATCAATAGATAATAATCATAATGATAATAACTATATATTGAAGATGCTGCTGAGGGACAGAACAAACCAGAGGCTTCAGAATCTCTTGCAACCACTGGAAAGACAGTATGCCAATACAGGAAGTCCTTACACATCAGAATGCTGAAATCTAGGCTGTGATTCTCTTTGTAGCATAATAAAACATCAGTAAGCAGCAATTTTAGCATGAGTATGAAGAGTCTTGAAATTTTTTAGAGGCACATACACTGAGAGCCAACTCCCAAAAGGATCACGAAAAGTAAATTAAGCACATTCAATGTTTTTCCAACAGACGCCCATGACGATATTTCATATGGAGGAATCTTTGCCTCTGTGATTCACTTTGCAAATCCTATGACCCATGTTTCTTTTCACATGATAAAACATCAGGGTTCTGCAGAAGAACTCCCTGTTCAGCAGATATTTGTGGTCAAGGTTCTGAGAAGATTTTTGCCCATAAATGGCTCACACTTTATCCAGTTAGAAAGAAATGGGAGCTCACAGAATTTCACAGGACAGCTAAGGCCCCAGCAAAGTCATGCAAACCAGCTGGGCATGTGAATAAATGGAGAAAGACACAGTCACTTACCACTTCCACCTGAAAAGGAGTGGCGATGAGATTGAATCCACACAACCATGGCATCTTACCTTTCTTTCTTGAAGCATGGAGCCCTGTTAGCTCACCATTCTAACTGATGTCTTGTATAAAAAGAAAGGACCTAGCATCACCCAGCTCTGCCGCTTACTAGCTGGCTATGATGACTTTGGGGAGGTAATTTAAACATGCAACCTCCTCATATGTAAAATACAGATAATGATGACTATGACCTCTTCCTATCAGAAATAAACATTTATTGAGAGCTTACTGAATACAGAAACCTGTTTTAAGTATTTTAAATGTGTTAAACTCATTTCGTTGTCACAATTCTGACATACTCTCTATCATTATTTTTATTGCATTTTAAATTGAAGAAATTGGAAGAAGAGTAAGAACTGTTCCTGAGGCTACACAACTGGTATGTGACAAGGATTAGGTAAAAGGTTGCTGTCAGGATTGAACAAGAAAATGCAGGTAAAACTCTGCCTGGCACATAGCAGGTATGTGTCATGATACATGCTAGTTACTGTCTCTCGGTTACCTTCTGCTTGTGATGTCACCTTAGAAACAGCTACAGAAAATCTACTGAAGGTTATGAGTGGGGAAAGTGGCACAGATTAAAGTACTGAAGCTTTCTATTGAAAATTGTTAGTGTTTCCTAAGAACCCATTGAGGAAAAACGACCAGCACAAGTCAGATACAGACCCAGTGTAAATGGAGAACTAAAGTTAAGCTCAGGAGAGGAACAAATGCTGAGTTCTCACCCTGGTAGCGGGAGTTATAAATTAACGTAAAGGAGATAGCCCTGTAACAGACACTTTCCCAACCCTTCCTAAAATAATCTACAGTGGTCTAATCCTTTTGTTTTTCTTTGCCATAGCTCGAGAGTCATTGGCTATCTTTCTGCCCCATAGATAACCCCACTCTATTAATATGGACTGTTAGAACATTTTTTCCATTCCCCAAGATATACTTAATGCTAATCCTGTTCTTGATTTCATCTTTAGCCAAGCTGAATTTTATGCGTCTTTATTTGTATTGCCTCCAACCCTGTTTAAAACCTTTCACTGTGTTCTCATTTTCTTAAAGATGTTTCCTGCAATGAAAAAGATTTATTCTTTAAACGAACGTCCATGGAAATAGTTTTAAAGGCTTTCTTTTCAACAACTCTCCAGCATAGCTTTCTGATGTTTTTAGAAATGGGATCATTTGGGACTGTCTTGTGATTTGTAGCATCCTTGGAGAATGACTCCTTTCTTTCCCAGAGCGCCTTCCACCCCACCCTCTGCCCCAGTACCAAGGTGACCTGTATCTTAGCTCCATTGTCTCCTTCTTCCCCCTTGATTCTGCTCATCCTGTTCTTTTCCTGAATCATCCATCTCCCCCTCTTCTACGTCCTCTTTTCCCACAACGCTGCAGACTTTGTCTCTTCTCTTGCTAGTCCCTCCAGCTTCCTACCATTTTATTTCCTACAGTGGTCAATTCTCTCCAATAGTGCCCTCATTTGGAGTTTCAGCTTTGTCATGACCTTAGCCCTATTACCCTCTAAGAATCCCCTCTCTAGGATAACCTAGGACCTCCTATTTGTCAAAGTCATAACCTTTCCCTGGTTTCATCCTCCTTAATCTGAGTAGCATTTGGTGACATTGAGCTACCTCATCCTTCCCGAAATTCTTCTCCTCCTCCTGGAAGAGGTGCTTCCTCCAGGGAGCAATCCTTGATTTCCCAAAACAAGATGTGACCCCCTCCTCCCTGCAAATGCGTGTGTCTATGTTGTACCTGTCCTCATAGATTATAACCTCCTTGAGGGCAGGAGCCTAGTTTTATGCCTCTCCCCCAACACGCATATACAGCCTGGAGCTAACACAGTGCCAAGTTCACAGCAAGGATTCAGCAAACATGGTATGAGTACAAAAATAAACTTGGTCTCAGAATGTCAGGATGCAGCTGAACATGGCCCAAAGATGACTTTAACTTGGACTGTCTACTAATTTTTAAATATCTGAGTTAGTTATCAGCATTTAAAAACTGTGGTATTTTACATGAAAAATTCTGATTTCTTGGTTGTTGTTTTTGACAAATCTGATTTAATCTCATCTGGGTCCCTATTCCTGCATGGCCACAGAAGGCAGGATCTGAGCATCTGCTGTCCCCTTGGGTGAGACTCCTGTCCTGTTTTTTCTGCTTCACTCATGGACATTGCCTTCATGGCCCCTCTAGGCACTTTAATCTTGTGAACCCTTGAAAAATGAACCTGTGCAAAGGGTAAAGGTAGGACACACTCATTGGTTATCAGTGTTCCTGCCAGCTCTGTCCTCTAGCTACCTGTCAAGAGTTCAGAAGGAATGGCAAGTTGACTCATCTCTGAGCTCCCTGTCACTGGCCTGGACCTGGAAAGAATGCTTCTTCAAGGAAGCTTTCCATGACTGCTCCTCTTGGAAAACCTCTCCCTCTTTTATACCCCTAAAGCAGGGTGTACAGGTAATACAGGATCCCCCTCCTTGCTCAACATGCACGCACATGCATGTGTGTGTGTACACACATCAGCTCTGGCTGTATATATGGCTCAACTTTGGCTGCCTGCTGCCAGTGTTATCCACACATAACACTCAATGCACATTGGGGTTGTTTGCCTTTATTCAGAGGTCTGTGAGTATTTGGGTGGTGAGCAGTGGAGGGGCAAGAACCTAGACAGGGACATGGAGAAGAAGAAGAAAAGGCAGCAGTGATTTAGACAGACAGCAGCAATGATTTCGTATCTATTCTCTTAGGGATGGCCCTATGCATTGAGTGTGGCCTGTGCTGAAGAGAGAAGACCCAAAGCTGACACCGGTGTCCAGAGGGGCTTTGAGTAGAGCTGCTCTCATGGCCCAGAAGACACAGAGCAGCCAGAGGCCCAAGAGAGTCCTTTCTGGCCTTTGCAAAGAACGTCTGCACCTCCCTCCACTCGGAGGCCTGGAGGGTTTGGATGGTTGGCACGCTTGGCCTGGGTGGTGGGCTTCTTGTGATGAGTCATCACTGTAGGGAGACTTGACATGCTGAAGGCAGTGTGGATGTCAGGGGGCAGAAGAGGAAGAACAGAGCAAATGTGCATGGTAGCAAGCTGGTTGGAAGCACCTGTGAAGCACCTTTGGGGGCTCCCAGGAGTAAACTGGGGCTCTCTGCTTAGGTCCCACCACTAGACAGATGGAAGCTACCATGTCATTAGACATTGATTTACAGGTATTTGTGTTCACATCTCTATTCATTGGGATATAAAGTTGGCTTCTTTAACAAAGAGACCTAAGTCAAAGTCATTTACATTAATAGTTGCCTTCTCTCTCAGGTAGATGTCCAGGGACATGGTCCATGCTTGCTATGGCTGCTTTATCATCATCAGAGCCCACGTTCCCTCTATCTTGCTGTTCTGCCATCCTCAAAATGTGGCTTCTATCTCATGGTTCTTCAGGGAATCTCCAGCTCCTGCCATCATATCTGCTTCCATGTAACAGGAAGGAAAAGAAGGGGGAAGCATGGAGACATCACTTCTTTTTAAGGCATAACTATATCTTACACAGATCACTTACATCCCATAATCCAGAAAGTTGTTATGGGACCACCTCTAGCTGCAAGAGAAGCTGGAAGATAGTGTTTGGCTTGGTAACCATGTACCCAGTTAAAAATTCTATTACTTTAGAAGAACAGGAGAATGAATATATTAGATTTCAAATACAAGTTTCTTCCAGAGCATCTGTCTCCACTAGACCAGAAGCTCATTGAAAATCAGGGCTTTAGCCAACCCTGATTCCACCAAGTACTAGCATAATACGTGCACATAGTTGACAGACCATAAACCAGAACTGCCATGACGTCCTGTTCTTGCTACTCCATCACTATGGGCTGGTCACAGTGGGTAACACGTGTACCTGCAATTAAAGCTAACCCTCACAGAATTGATGCCTTCTCTGCCATTTACTTGCTGTATGTGTCTGAGCAAGTCAGCCTGGACCTAAGTTTCTTCATCAATTCAGGGGGAATCATAATACCTACCATGATAGGGTTGTGACGATTAAGGGTATGTTTAGTGCCTGGTACTCAGTTAGCATTCAATAAGTGGTTTAAAAAAATTAGACCATCCCATGGCAATGTCAGTGACAGGCCACATGCAGAATTGCAGTCTCTCTGGGCAGTGCATACAGCTGTTGTTGAGGACAACAGGATAGTTCCAGGTGAGTGTGTACTTGCTTGAGGCAATGATCTGTATAAATGACCAAGGAGAGAACTCAGCTAGTAACCTTAGGAAACCAATAGTCTGAATTTCTCCACCTATCTGTAATAAGACTTTTTCTCAGCATGGCCTTTTTGCCAGTACCAAGAGAGATAGGTACTGGGAATCCTCTTCCCTCATGGCCTAAGGGAACTGGGGGGAAGCAAACAGCGTTGCAATTAAAGGTTTCTCTGTGCTGTGGAATTCCAACCCTGCCAAGGGGCCAAGAGGTTCATTGCATGAGGTTCTCCAGCCCACCCTAAAGGGCTTCTCCTGTTCCAAACAATAAGAATTCTTGGCTGAAGTGCTGCAGACACATAGTGTGGGAACTAACTCAAGGCAGTTGACTCGTTTCTTTCCCTCCAGAAGGGCAAGAATCTATACCTCTCTCTAAATCACTTAGAGTCATAGTATTGATCATACAAGCCACCTTTCCCAAGGTATGGATAAAAATAACTATGTGGCCTTGAACATGTCACTTGCAGGGACAAGAGTCACACTGACAAACAGTGTGACATGGGAAAAGCATGGGACTGAGGCAGCCTTTGGATCAAGTCTCAGTTTCACCACTTAAATGGAAGATTTGGGGCAAGCCCTGTAGCCTTGCAGAGTCTCAGTTTTCTCATCTGTAAAGTGGAAGCTACTTCATGCCAGTGATCCATCAGGGTGGAGTGACGGTTCAAGGAAATGAGGTAGTGAGTGCTTGTTAAATGGCACCTATTAGTATTCTCTCTTTTCATTTTCCCATCAAATTCTATCCTGCCTCCTGTTGCCTCAAGACCCAGATGTGTGATCATGAGGATATTCCAAACATGTGGCAGTTCCTAGTATCAGACAGGACTGCGGGGACAAGACAAAGAGCAGAGGGGACTGAAAACAAAAATAAAATACCTTCAAATCATAGCCATACAGGATTCTCCTTAGGACCATCATTGGTCCTGGGTGTCCTCACAGCAGCCCCATCGGCCTCCTGCTACAGTTGCTGTGTCTGCAGAGGAGTGGGCCTGGCACATGTTCTCAGACGTTATACTACAGCTGGGAGAATGTGGCCCATCAGCCAGCTCGCTCTGTCTTCACCACCACCCCTAGGGCCCTCGCTCCTTTTTATCTGTAAACTCTCCAGCACAGGAAGCCATGCGCTTACTGACCTCAATATCCTCTTTGGCAGAGTTATCCCACGAAAAATTATGAGTGCAACTGGAATATTTTGAAAATATTAATCTGATATAATTTGTTTGTCTTTAGTCTGTGAATTAGAAGTTGGAGCCTTAAGCTTATTACTCAGAAAGAGAGGGTGGTTGCTTCTAAAAATAGCAAAAATAGTTTTTCCATAGCCCATTCTTGGATATTGGTTTCCACATTAGAACATTCCAAAGTATAGAATGTGTTATTTATTTATTTTTAAAGCAAGGCCATCTGGCTCAAATGCTAATGCTTAAGACAACAAATCCTTCATGTTTCCTAGTTTCCTAGTAAAAGAAAACAGCGTCACAGAATAAGCGCCCTGCCGAGGGTCCTCTTCTCCACCCATACTAGATTCCTTCACTCTCTTCTCTGGTCTCATTGCTTTTGCTGTACTATTCTTCTACCTATCTTTACTTTCTCTTTGCCTGTCTTTTGTTTTATCCTTCTTTCAAGACCCAGCTCAAAATTCATCTTTAAGAAGAAGACTTTATTGAATAGCTTTTTTTTTTTTTTTTTGGAGACTGAGTCTTGCACTGTCGCCAGGGCTACAGTGCAGTGGCACAATCTTGGCTCACTGCAACCTCTGCCTCCTGGGTTCAAGCGATTCCTCCTGAGTAACTGGGATTACAGGCGCCTGCCACCATGTCCAGCTAATTGTTTGTATTTTTAGTAGAGACGGGGTTTCACCATTTGGTTGAACTCCTGGTCTCGAACTCCTGACTTCATGATTCGATCGCCTCCGCCTCCCAAGGTGCTAGGATTACAGGCGTGAGGCACTGCCCTCAGCCTATTGAATAGCTTTTGATTGTACAGAGTTATTTTATATACTGCTTCAGATTTAGGAAGAAGTTTGAAAGATGTTCATTTTATAGTTGTCTAGTTCTGCTATATGCATCTACACCTAGAACAACAAGAGTAATTGTACATGTGATAAAATAGAAAACAATATAGGTATAATCCAACCTTATTAATTGGACATTTCATTCTAATTAAATGGATGTTACTCTATTAGGCAGATAAATAAAGTGACTGAGACAAGTGGCCAAAAATTAATTGTTTCCTTTCGAAATGTAGCAAAACATACCAGTTGTTAGAATAATTAACTGGGAGACCATTAGGCTGAGATGTCTCCAGCACCTTGGATTCTTATATAAGCAAACCAAACCCCAACTTAATGTAAACAGTAAAACAAAACTTAAGGTTAACCAATCAGAAACCACCAACTAACCTCTAACTAGAGGCTTTACTAATTAGAAGCTACCAAGTAACCTCTAACTAGGGACTCTCCGCTTTAACCAATCAAATAGTTTCATTATCTGGCTTTCCCAAACACCTAATGAAATGTCCTCTTGTGTCCCCTTTGGTGGAGCACTGAGCCACTTGTGATCTGGCACTGCCCAATTCATGAATCACTGAATTCAAAGAAACTCATTAAAATTTTAATGTGCCTAAGTTTATCTTTTAACGCAATCAGCCAACAAACAAATATTCCATCAAGATACATTGCTTCTAATGGTTCTGTGGGCAGGTCACTCTGACCCTTAAAGTTGATCAACATGGTGATAGCACATTTCTCATCAGTATTCTGAACTGGCATAACCCTGGCCAAGTAGCACTGGGCATAAAGGCAAGAATCCTCTTTCTTAGTCTAAGAGCAAAACCTCATGCCTGTAGGGGAAAAAGCAGCATATTGTAGGCAAGGCAGAACCGAGAGTACATTTTAGTTCTTGTCACTTTAGCTTCCCCTTGGGGTACCTATTTAGGCAAAGTTAATGAACATTTGTCACTCAATAAATCATCTATTCTATATATGTCTCCCAAGCATCCAGTTCTCTTGATCTTTTAATATTTTCAAAAATATGCAAAGATTCCACAAAAATTAAGACATTTCAAAAGCTAACACTAAAGACATTATTACATTATTTTGAGAAATTCATAGAATTTAGTCACCAAATTCAAAGGGGCAGAAGGCCATCCTAGAACAGCTGGACTTGATCACACTGGGGCTCAGAACACGATACCCCAAAGCATGGTGTTTTGGTGTGCTAAATTCTTTGAACTGAAGAAAAATAGAAAAACTCCAGAATTAAAGTCTTTCTGACCTTCTCCTATCCTTCTGTCTCCTGCCCCTCTTCTCCACCCCAATGCCACCCTTCTCAAAGCAAAGTAAGTCATAGAAACCAGAATTCCTCTTTCCCAAGGTGGGCTATAGAAACTGGAACTCCCCTCTCGCAAAGCAAGCCCCCAAACCTAGAAAAGTCACTCTCTCCCTTCAAGACCCTCATTGCAGAGGGGCCCTGCCCCGACAGGAGGCGGGAATGCTGTAGAGAGATGCCAAGAAGAATCTAAACAAATTTGCTGGGTTTCCCCTGCCCTCCTCTCAGTCTACCACCATTAAACCTACCCTTTTGTCCAATCACATTTCTACAGGGCTGTCCATTCTTCATGGAACCTAACTCTATTAGTCTGTTTTCACACTGCTTATAAAGATATATTTGAGACTAGGTAATTTACAAAGGAAAAAGGTTTAATGCACTCACAATCCCACATGGCTGGGGAGGCCCCAAAATCATGGTGGAAGATGAAGGAAGAGCAAAGGGATGTCCTACATGACTACAGGCAAAGACGGCTTGTGCAGGGGGACTTCCATTTATAAAACCATCAGATCTCGTGAGACTTAGTCACTATCACGAGAACAGCACAGGAAAGACCCTCCCCCATGATTCAATTACCTCCCATCGGGTCCCTCCCACTATGCATGGAAATTATGGGAGATACAATTCAAGATGAGATTTGGGTGGGGACACAGTCAAACCGTATCACTAACCACAAAAATAGACAGGCTTCCCTGGGTCTTTGGGTCTTTACTTTTGAAGGTTTCCATATCACCTAAAACTTTGAATACATTTGTTATACTTTTCTCCTGCTAATCTGTCTATTATAGGAATGTCAGCTGTGACCCTTGTGATAAGCGAGGAAAAACATCGCATTTTTCCCCTATAATTATGAGATACCAAAGTTCTCAGATAATTGACTTGTGACT